CGATATTAGTTTCATTTCGCCTGACTCGGTGGTGCAGTTATTAGCACCTCTGACTATGGCGCCGAGGGTTGCGGGTTCGATTCCCACATCCGACAAGCTTAAGTTTAAATCAATTACATTGATTGTAATTGTGATTGTAGTCGTCGTGGCCTAACGGATAAGACGTCCGGTGCATTCGTGTTGAGCGATGCACCGGTGTTCGAATCCCGCAGGCGGGTACCAATTTTTCAAATGAAATACGTACTCAACAAATGTTCACGATTGACTTCCACGGTGAAGGAATAACATCGTGTAATAAAAATCAAACCCGCAAAATTATAATTTGCGTAATTACTGGTGGTAGGACCTCTTGTGAGTCCGCGCGGGTGGGTACCACCACCCTGCCTATTTCTGCCGTGAAGCAGTAATGCGTTTCGGTTTGAAGGGTGGGGCAGCCGTCGTTACTATACTTGAGACCTTAGAACTTGTATCTCAAGGTGGGTGGCGCATTTACGTTGTGGATGTCTATGGGCTCCAGTAACCACTTAACATCAGGTGGGCTGTGAGCTCGTCCACCCATCTAAGCAATAAAAAAAAAAAAAAAAAAAATATGTACGCTGAATTGTGTAGCTAATATTATATTCAATACTTGTTTCGATGTAACTTTACCACTCACGAAACAGACGTTATTCTATACCAGGGGTTCCCAAACTTAATTTGTCTACTGCCCACTTTAAGAATAAATTATTTTTTAGCGCCCCCCCTTTTTTATCCTACTTAAAAACCACTATAACGTGAGCTCAATCGGTGTCTAAGAGTCCTCCTAGACGAAATTACAAATCGCCTTCCAAGCCCCTACACAACGCCCCCATTTTTTTTTCTGGATTCTTACCTCCCTTCTTTAGGCCTGCAGTGCCCACTTTGGGTAAGGTTGTTCTATACTATTGAAACTTTCAACTCATGTCTCAAGTGAATCATCAATCCGTTTGCCTATCAACGAAAACAAACTCTGTACTCTCTGGAAAATGTACTCTACTTGAATACACATAAAATACGTTTTAGTTACAATCTGTTTATGATATGGTGTAACTAGTGAGAGGCTTCGTGTTGTTGCAGGCCACTTCCACGCCGGTTCAAGGTTGTACGGCCAAACTAATTGACTACTCGTTGTTGATTTCTTTCGATTCGTAAAGGCTTTATTATATTTTTTACTGATATCACTTTTATTTTATTTTATTGCCCTTGTAGGCAGACGAGCATACGGTGATGGTGAGCGGTTACCGTCGCCCATGGACTTCAGCAATGCCAGGGGCAGAGCCAAGCCGCTGCCTACCGCAATATAGACTGTATTCTAGATATCACTTTATTCTTCCGTTTGGAGCTGTGGTGGGTAGAAGTAAGGAGAACCGTCTTAGTGTATTAAAAAGTGCTTGCTCGCTGAAAGAAGCCAATTAAGCTGACGCCATAGTAGCAAGTGGAAAGATTTGAAAAACTGAGCTCAAAGTAGGATATTAAATTAAGAATGAAAGAAATACGTCCTGGTTTTAAATACTGCATATTTTTTAACTACACAACTCACGACAGATATTTAATTTGTCAACCCAACACACTTGACTCTATTTAAAACGGCTATATTCATCTATACTAATATTATAAAGCTGAAGAGTTTGTTTGTTTGAACGTACTAATCTCAGGAACTACTGGTTCGATTTCAAAAATTCTTTCAGTGTTAGATAGTCCATTTATTGAGGAAGGCTATAGTCTATATAACATCACGCTAAGACCAATACAAGCGGAGTACCAATAAGGAATGTTTCAAAATCGTTTTTTTTTTCCCTTTTGAGAGCTTCCGCTGCGTGCGCTGCAAAAACGGTTAAAGTTTCGCTAAAATAATGTATGACAGAATTGTTCCTCTTTAAAAGATCTAAAAAAAAGTCCGCGCATGTCTATATGTTAAGGTTGACTCACGTTTTTTATGCTAATCAAATTTGTTCTAAAATAAAGCATTATTTTTGAACTATTCCACGAGGACGAAGTCGCGGGCAAAAGCTAGTAATAATATAATTTCCATTTCCTACACTAGCACTATTTCGATGAGCCTTCCAATAATAGCTTGCCATTTACAGGTGGACACCTTTTCGACTTGTTGCATATACAAGATGGTCCTTCTTACTTCTTCTACCCTCCACAGAAGCATCATTGAGCTTAGATATCACAGAGTAAATGTCAAACTTTATCATTCCAATACCTTTAGTAACGTGTGATTTGTTCTCGACGGAACTACGGAATGACGCTACTAAGTTCGTCTGCCTACAAGATCGGTTTAAAAAAAACTACTTATATTTAATTTGAGACTACCCTTAGAGTATACGTAAGCAAGCTATAGAGCACCTGTTAGTGAGTATGAATTGTAAGCACGGGTTTGAACAGTATCGAAGTCGCAAGGGCGACACTATTAGTCACGAAGGGTCGAACGCGCTGGTTGTTTCTCCCGCCGATATTTATTTAAATTTAATGTTATAGTGGTGAAATGTGCAGTACCAAACTGTAAGAATGATTCACGGAAGCAAACTAAAAAGAACAATGATATTTCTTTTCATCGGTAAGTAGTGTTTTGATAGGAAAACAGATTTTAAGAAAATTACTCAAGGCGAAAAAGGGTGTTGCGGGAGGCGCGCGGGTGGGTTCACGCAGCATGCGTTCCCGCACCCCCCGCTTCCGACCTTCTCCGCATTGGAGCTAGTGCTGTACCACGTTGTACTCAAATATTATGTAATAACATGATTTCTTTTATTTCTTTTTTTTTAAATTTTTTTCTTTCTTTATTGTATTTAAGATCAATGACTAAATAAAAGTTTGGAATTGTAATACGTAATCGGTAAACTTAAATATACTTACGGTTCTATAATTATCTATCTAAATTTTAGATTTCCGAAAAACCCTGAGTTGGCAAATAAATGGGTGACAGCAATAAAAAGACCGAACTGGGAGCCCAATATCTGGAATTTTATCTGCTCCATGCATTTAAATGCTTCATCCTTTTATGAAACGAAAAGTCGACTGCGCAAGCTGGTTGACGGTGCAATACCAGAGGTAAAACTTGAAGTAAGATTATGCTGATTTTCAAGGGATTAAACAAGTATTTTGTGTTTTCGGTCGTTAACTAAACATAGTATAGTCAAATAATTATATTATTATATTCGCGATTTTCTCAAAGTGTAATTGAATATGCAGTTTCGAAAAGGGCACATCTCGGAAAATGTAAAATGTTCAGGAAATGAAAAAAACTGATTATTTTCTAAAGCAGTGTAAAATTTAAAATATGAACTTTTGATATATATTTTAGTGTTAATTAGCAATTGATTATTACTGGAATTATTATAAAATGGGTGTAGGTAAGCCTCAAAACTACATGTATATGAAAAAACGTATTTGACAAAATATGCAACATGTGCCCTTTTCGAAATTGCATATTCAATTACAATGGTCTTTATAACATAATATGAATATAATCCTTCATATTATATTAACATTTCTTAAAACTAACGTTTCATCATTTTTTGTAGAAAAATAACATTTGTGTCAATTACTTTCTTATTTCTTCTTCATCGACCATTCGGCATAAGCCTAACGTAAAATCTTCTATTCTTTTCTATGCTTCGCTTACTATATTTGCAGTTTTTTAATGCCATTTGTCTTTATTTAAAACTTAATCTAACTAAATATTACTTTTTTTTAGGATGAAACAAAAAATAATCTCGCGGTATCAATTAGAAGAGAAAAAATTGTGGAGCAATCAATAAGTGAACCGTTGTCGAGTCCATCTACGGATGATATTGTTGTGCCTTCTATGAGTATATGGGCGCAAACGCCACCATTGGCAATAATTAACATAATAATATATAGTTTAGTTTATTCTATGTTAATATTTATTTATTATCAGCAACAAAATTGTTATTCTACCATATTTAATAATTTGCAGACACTGTTTTGATGTGAAAATGTTCAGTATATGTTTAATGTTTGTATTATTGTATAAAAGCACAAATGACTGTATAAATGATTAAATATGAATAAAGCATAAATATTAATAATAATTTATATTATAAGTAACAGTACTAATAATTTAATTAAGTATTGTAATTGTTATGCAATGATGTTGTTGGCGCCATCTATGATTAGGCTGGATAATAACAATGTTAGTCAATATTACTTAAAAGTAATTCATGTAAAATAAATTAAATGTCAGTCAGGTAAAAATCACTAAAATATGTATTGTGAATATTAAGCTATATTTTGTGAATTGTTTCGCAGCAATTACATTTGTTTGTATAAAAGAAGTTGTAGTTGCTATAACCAACACAAAATGGCTAACTGTGTAAGAACCACTGAATAACTAAGGCGTGGCTTTTTGTTGTAAACAAGTAATGTTAAAGTTTTATAGAATTGTATTGTATTTTCATTGTAAAAGAACTTATGTGTGAAAACCCTGGCGTAACGCCGACAAGTACCTACTACTGAAACTTTGGTAATGCCAGTAACGGATAAAAATATAATGGTGCCATCTACAGATGATACTCCACGTAAGCGTAAACTAAAACGTCAAATTATCAATTTAAAATAAATCGCGAAACGACGACGACTACACTGTACTGCTCTTTATGACCAAATAATCCGCTTAAAAAAGAAAGTAGAGTCTCTAACAGAAATGCTTGCGCAGCTTCGTGAATAACAACTGATAAAACAAAAACATAATGATATGTAATGAATAACGTATTTATTTGGATAAAGATTAATATCATCTCTATACACAGAGACATAAAAGTCCCTCCGTGTGCTATATTATACTGGACATTAAAATTTGGAGATATAATCCCAAGGAGGGTTGACGTCAGGTCGTCTGCTAAACTGGTTGTATGCTAAATCCTTATGCAGCATGATAAGAGAATATGTTATGACGATCCTATATAATGCGGCATAAGGATAAGTAGAAGAAGAAGAATAATTTATTTATAACTTACCGAGATCAGCATTTTTGGTACGTAGGGTTGATGAACGAAGAGATCGGCGTCACGTAGGCCGGGTTCTGTACGGTGCTTGTGGCCGCCTCCACGCTCATGTAGCCTGGCTTTATCAAGTCCTGTGCTGGGATGCGATTGAAGTACTTCCACACGGCCACAGCGACTAGCGACGCCGCGCATATCACGGCTAGTAGTCCAAATAGTACCGACGTCACTGGAAAGATAAGAAACGGGTTCACAAACTGGTGTTTATTCATTACTGGAGCCCATGGACATAACGTATATACCGTAAACTTCAAAAGGGAATGCCTTCACTCACAGCAATGGACATTTTATTTGTTACAAACATTTAGTAAGCTAAGGAAATATATTTTTGGTTAGTAAGCTTTTGTTATGTTAATATAAGAAGAATCAGGCTTAATTTTCGTGAAATGTTCAAAAAAAACCCTGTGCCGCTTACATTAAGAGACATCAACATTTGATTGTCTATGATTTAAATATGCAAACGTATTTATTGTATAACAATAACATAATTCATCGGATTTATTTTCATGCTGTAAAATCAATAGTACAACAGGAAAATGCAGGTTATGTACAAATTACGTATTATTTTTATTCATAAATTTTCATTTCTTATTTGTTGACAAGCGGCGTGCGTCAGCGGCATTGACAATATGGCGGCCAACACATAAAATTCGGCAAAGGGTAGCTGTTATTCAATTTACTGTAAACTTATGTGCTTATTAATACTTTTTATTTTTGCTGTATTCGTTTTACAGAAGTGGATTATCAAACTGAATGTTTAGCATTGTTATCTTTTTCTAATATTTACATGTTGCTTTATTATTGTAATCTGTAAGCAATAAGGAACAAGGGCAATGTAAGACTAATTAATTAAGCCGTTGTAAATGAATATACAGTTGAACGTCGAACAATTTGTTTTCTGGTTGAATGTTTGTTCGTGGAACAAACTAAATAATGTGTCAAACATTAATTATTTTGTAATTAGTTTATCAGTAGGCAGAATAGCTATTTAATTTTTAAATTATTGATCACTCCATCAGCTATTGGAACGCGATGATTGTAGATTGTTGACCGTGATCGAATTAACAACTGACCTACTTTCTATGGTTTTTTTTAAACAGTTAAGAAAAAAAAGAAAGATACGACTTTAAAATGGGAATTTCGATGAAGGAAAAATATTTTTTTAAACTCGTTTTTTTACGTGAATGTAATAAACATATTTGCATAGGCGAGACAGACACAAGGAGCATATGAGAACAGCTGGCGACCGCATATTTGAACAGCCTTTAAAATTTAAACATTCAAAATGAACAACTGTTTTGGTCGGGCCAAACGTGTCGTTGAAAAAACGTTTTGAACTTAAACATTTTATGATTATGTTCCAAGAATATATATAGTAATTATTTAGGTAATAATTAAGACATTGTCTAATCACTATTTCAAATGAGTTTTGTACTCGCTCACCAAACATAACATTAATTTGAAAATCGTTGACCACACCTGAGGAGTATTGAGCGTCTGTGGTAATAAATTTGCGAGTTTTTTTATGCTATCTTCCAAATAAAAAAATATTTAATTTCTATTGTCCGTACCTAGATAGATAATTATCTCCATTTAATTTCTAGAAAATTTTCTGTACACGTCAAATGTGACGTATGAGTTTTTAATATTATATTACATTTATTGAATACATTTTTGATTTAAAATACTTCTGTAGCTAATAAAAGCGTATTAAAAAAAATAACGTACATTATTACATACTTTTCAAAATTATTCTTGGTTCATATAATTGTTTATTTTGTTGTCTTAAGTCATTGAGATCTACGATAAAATATTATTACTTTTAATTCATTTTGTGTTTAGATGGAACTAGGCATACATAACCTTGTTAAATCAATTTCCTAGTTTTTGTTCTTCTAATAATTAAATAAAATAACGATGTAATGGATAAACTATAAGTCTTAGTGTGTGCACTATGCGATTATAAATATAAAAATAAATGCGATTATAAATATAATTATAAATATAAATTTACAATAGAAGTGCAATTTTGTTAAACGCTCGCGTTTCGGTCCACGCGTACTGAAGAACACCCAGAAAACACTCAAAAGTGATCTCAAATAAATATTATTATAGTTAAAGTACACGGCGGAATCCTCGCTGTGACAGCGCGAGTTTGTTTAACAGAATTGCACGTCTGTGTGCTTAGTGTGAGTTTCTTAACGTTCTCGATAGCGTAAAAGTTAAGCCTATTTTGTATGCAGTTGGTACAGCGCCCCTAGCGGCAAACGTACGCAAACGATCCCGTTCCATACAAATATGAGCTAACTTTTACGCTATCGAGAATGTTAAAAAATTCGCACTGAGCACACATAACCGACTGGACTTTTACTGGTGGTAGGACCTCTTGTGAGTCCGCGACCACCACCCTGCCTATTTCTGCCGTGAAGCAGTAATGCGTTTCGATTTGAAGGGTGGGGCAGCCGTTGTAACTATTATAACTACATTTGAGACCTTAGAACTTATATCTCAAGGTTGGTGGCGCATTTACGTTGTGGATATCTATGGGCTCCAGTAACCACTTAACACCAGGTGGGCTGTGACCTCGTCCACCCATTTAAGCAATAAAAAAAAAACAAAAACTGAAACTCACCCGGCGACGCGAACAGACCGGCCGGCGTTGACACCTCGCAATAGTCCTCAATCATTATATGCACAACTTCGTTTTCTCTCATCGCCAAATACAAGACTTTGCACTCAGTCGTGACGTTGATGTAGCTGCAATGCATCCACACTCTCCTGTTTAAAGAGTCTAGCTCTTCCGAGACGGTACGGTTGTACGCGTCCTTCACAATGTTGCAGTTCGAACACTGCATCGGCCCGTTGCTAGATAAACAATCCTTGCACTGTTCAACAGTCATGCACAGGTCCACGCAGTTGTTGTCCGCTTCTAAGTACTGGGCCCCTTCGATGTCGGTTTTGCAGACGCAGGCGTCGCCGCAAGCGTCGCACTCACCGTTGCCTGAGCATTCCCCCTAATAGAATATAAGCTTTAGTACTTTTTGTGTAACTGTCCAGTTTTGGTTACGACACCCACAAGAAGATAGGGAGCGAGGTTTTTTTTTTGCCGACTGGACTTTAACATATCGATTATGGAACTGAATTAATTTTAAAAGATGAGTTGTGTGTCTAAGCAACTATCATATTTTATGAGGCAATGGCACTTTTAAATTAAGGAACGTTTATATTGCGGACTAAATAATAATAGTTACAATGGTTGGTTCGAAGTATCAGTTGAATGGAATATTTTAAATGTATTCAACTGATAATTATTTTTAATACATGTATCTTTTTATTTGATTTGTTTTGGTAATTTTAAGTATGTGTCAATGATACTATGTACACATATGGACTTGTTGTTGTTGTCTGAAATAAAATAAATCATTCATTCATTCATTCATTCATTCATTCAATCATTCATTTATTACCCGTTACATCTTTAAGCATCGGTACTTCTGTGAACGCTACAGAGAATTAAAATTCAAGTCATAGGATCACCTCGTGGAATGGTAATCTCGTCTGAACATTTAAGGTAATCAAATAATAGGATAAGAATGTAACTCACAAGTTCACTGGTTCGACTGCAGCCGATATCTCCACGTCTGCGTCCGCAGTTCAGTACGTTGCAGTTCTTTCCCGTCCTGTCGACGATACGATATGTTATTATGAAGATTTTTTGCGAAGTGGCCTTTTCAAGGACAGAAAATTTTTAACCCAGAAAATTTTAAACCCAGAAAATTTACAAAACTACGACTTACCATCCTTTAAAGCAATCGCAAATTCCGCTTGACAGCCAATGGCCGTGATATTCACATTTCGGTGATTTCTTCTCAACAATTGTAGGTACAACAGGCTGTTTGAAAAGAAAACATGTTTCAAAATAAGGATGTTCATTTATTTTTACGCTTCTAAAATAATGACACTTCTCTGTTCTTATACAATTAGTTATAGCGCTTCAATTAGTTTCTCATTACTTATATATATAGATGGCAGTAACATATTACCTATCCTATATTTTATTTTTAATGAAAGTGTTTTTTAATTCTCAAAAACCACAAATTGATAAAATTTAATCAATTTGTCTATAACAAATACAGACTTGTATGATTTATTAATTTTTTTTATTTTCTGAGTTTAGATATACAATAATGATATGCCTTAACTTTAATAACCTATAAGTTTAGGGGCATCCGCTACAAGATGTCGCTAGTTTCCATACAAAAAAATAACTGTCTTAAAGTATCGCAGTTTCAGGGCCCTGAGGCAGACTGCCATGTGTAAATACTCTTAGAAAATATCAGTGACGTTATCAAAAGATTTATCGATTTACCGACCAATCGGAGCAGAATTCATTCTTACTACCTGATAGTGCGGGATATCAACATAGTAGTGTCAGCAGGTTAGAATTACTAAGCATCTACATCAGCTTTTTGTATTTATTATAATGACCTGAAGACATAATCCATGAGACACACTATCAGTTTAAGCATTGAAATATTGAAGATTTTTTTGTTGTTTACGATTTAAATATTTAAAAATATTTTAAAATGTTACAGAAGAATTTCAAATTAAGAAATTTTGAATGATCGATTTTAAATGAACTGATATTATATTAGTGTTTTTAATGATGAGAAAAATTTATACATATTACACGAATACAAAGAGTCACGAATTGCGCTATCGGGCACGTACTAAATTTTAAAAATAACAACGGGTTAATGTGCCGTTGACACCGAATTTTGCTAATCTCGTTGTTGAAAAATTTAAGACAACTAGTTGTGGTAATTAATGATTTTTTTAAGGGTGTTGAAAATAGATTCTGAGGTTTATTTACTGACGTAGTGGATTAGCTACACCTACAAAGTAACCGATATAGTTTTCTCGGAAATACTAAATATCCGAAGGAATATTGAGTTGAATATTAAAAAGGCTTTTTTAGTTGGTGATCAAACTATAGAGAGTGTTTATGTTTAAATAGCTATATGTTTTCTTACCGTTATTGGAGTCTGAGCTGCTTCGTTGCAGAAACTTCCAGACCTAAAAAGGTAATGCTTTATTTATACAATTCATTTAGCTGCTAAAATATTTGCGCTTTGTCATAACAACTTCATATATTTGCAATTGATACAGTTTGAGCTGTTTAACAAATTCGGTACATTTAAGTAATAAAGGAAATCTGTTTAGAATTTTACTGAGCGAATATGAGCAACTTTATTTAATTTTAAACTCATCAACAGTAGTTACGTCTCTGGTCTTTTATTTATTTATTGATAAAGCGAAAAGATTAATCATTTAGGCCTGAAAAGGGGGTCGGACACAGCACGCTGTATTTGATTTCATATAAACAACACAATTGATTTTTGTATCTTTGGATTAGCCAATCTGGTTGTATATTATACTAGTTGTACCCGTCCGCTTCGCTGGGCATTTAACATTAAGCTTATTATTTCTCACCCTCACAAAGATTCTCATCGTTAACGCCCCCGCAACTGGTGTAGGGAGTCCAACACGTATATAAATATTAGCCTATCCATTAAGTACATGTATTTTCTACATGAAAACCAAGTTTCAAGTCTATCTGATGCATGGTTCAGTAGTTATAACGGAACATCCGCAAAAACTACTGTAGAAAATCATATTATTATTATTTTTATTTTTTTATTGCCCTTAGTAGGCAGACGAGCATACGGCCCACCTGATGGTGAGTGATTGCCGTCGCCCATGGACTTCAGCAATGCCAGGGGCAGAGCCAAGCCGCTGCCTACCGTTGAAATTGTATTATATATTAGTATAGATTGAATCATAGAAATTCGTTGTGTGCTACGGAATACGCTAAATTTTAATATAGTGCTATTGAAGACGAATTAATGCCAAGATGTAATTGTAGAGTTCAATGTGACAGTACGAGAAACAGTGCAAGATAGAGTAACAGATATTTAATTACCGCGAAAAATATTATTAAATTTCAAACACTCACCATCCGTCGTAGCATTCGCAAATACCACAAATTAATTGTCCGTTCTTGTGGCACGTCTCCGAGTTTGGTTCGGGTTGGGCGGAACAAGGACACGCGCACGAAATCAAATACTTCACCAATGTCGATTCGTTCAGGTCCACAAAGAAAATGTTCGCGTATACGTATTCGTAAGGACTGCCGGAAGACGTGCAGAACGTTTCCAATGGCCTGACCGCAATCTTTGCAGTGCATTCAGAATTTTCGCATTTCGTTGTGTCAGAAAATTTAAGATTCCTAGTCTGCGTCGAGTTTACGATTTCTATTTTTATCTGCAAAAAACAAATTAAGGTCACATCTATACCTATATACGTAATTTTAGCAAATTTATTTATTTTCGATTTCGTGTTATCACTGAAGGAGATATCTTAAAAAGTTTTCGTTTCTGACATATTGAGGCTATGTTGTTATTTGGAGTTAAATTTCCTGTTATGCTTGAAAAGTTTAGAAAGTAGAAATTTGCAATTTAAATAGTATGATGGTTCAATGTTATTAAACATCAAATTCTTTTCGATATTTTTCCTTCTATGTTACCAATTACTTTCCAGTCAGAACACTCGTCTTGCAATATCCAAGTTATTCAAAACATTTTTTTAATCAACAATTATCGAAAAACAATGTTGATCGACTTAACTGATTTCAACTTAACATGTCATTGAAAATAATTTCAGAACAGTAAAATAGTGAAATGGTGGTCAGTACCGTACGGTACGTCAGATAAAAAATTACATAAAAACTTGACACATAAATAAATACAAAGATTCAGTATACGAAATCTAAATTTGCCCAACTCGACGATGCGTGACCCGATTTAAGTGTCCCGCAGTTTACATAATTTTTCAGTTTGATGGCGCTTATGAGGTACTACTGCATACAATTTGTTTGCATTTAATGTCGGGTCCGCTTAATCCTCGCTGCAGTATATGCGTAGGTATCATTAATTTAATTGCTTGTCGTATGGTATGAGAAACTCGGTTTGTCATGAATGCTGTGTTTATAGCAATTACGTTAATCACATAATACGTAGATTTCTGTTAATGACTATTTGACGAACAACAGTGGGAATGACTAAATGGAACATCAACATCATCATAAAATTTTGTTTTTTAGTTGTAGATCGCAGCAAGCTCATTCTGTTGTGTTTTCTGGCGTTTTTTACTGGTGGTAGGACCTCTTGTGAGTCCGCGCGGGTAGGTACCACCGCCCTGCCTATTTCTGCCGTGAAGCAGTAATGCGTTTCGGTTTGAAGGGTGGGGCAGCCGTTGTAACTATACTGAGATCTTAGAACTTATATCTCAAGGTGGGTGGCGCATTTACGTGTAGATGTCCATGGGCTCCAGTAACCACTTAACATCAGGTGGGCTGTGAGCTCGTCCACCCATATAAGCAATAAAAAAATTTACTAGATAACGAAACGTTAATAACGTTACTCAAACTCAATCTTAATTTATTTATTTATTGTATTGACCAGTGTCCTACCAAATCAAATCAAAAAAAATTATTCAACATAAATGATACATACTCGTTGAACGTCAAAAGAACTACTGCCAATTCACAAAAACTAGCCTCCGTCCTGAGAAGAATTGGCAAGAAACTCAGCGGGCACGTCTTTTTTTTTTTATTATTAGATATTTCTTTAATATTAGATTTTTTTTTAACAATTAGTATTATAACGTAACAATTATTACAATATTGAAATGTCCGGAGCGAGCAACTTATTCCCACTTTGTGCAATCTTCTAGATAATCATTGACTTTATAGTAAGCTTTATTGCACAGATGTTCTTTAATAGTTTTCTTAAACCTATGTAAATGTAGGTTCTGAACATCTTGTGGGATTTTGTTGTACAGGCGCACAGACAAACACCCGAATTAATTTCATATCTTATGTGACCTAGTCATCGGCACAACAAGCTTGTGTTTGTACCATTCAAATAAGAACGGAAGTTTGCCTCATGGGAGAATTGGCAGGACTGTGATATTTTTTTACTTTGTCGTATCACTCTTATCAGAGTGGTCGAGATTATTAGATCGTACTAAAATCACAGAAAGTATATATTTACTATTGGAAGCACACTATGACCCTCATCGTAGGCGTCCCTCATAGATTTTGGCAAAGCTACATAAAGCACAACTAAGCTGACTATCAAATGCCCAAGTACTTTTCTGTTATTGAACAAAATATTTCTTAAGACTGTGGTTTTGAAGATCATAGCAGATTTGAGAGACCTGAGAAAGTTTAACTATGTAGCTTTACATTTTACGTACGTTTTAAATTTAATTCGGTGGAATAAGGACACACAAAAATACCTTCGATAATTTGTATAGAAAGACTTCATCCATTGTAATTAATCACTAAAAATACGTATCTGTTAAAAATGAATATTAAAATAAGTTTTATTTTATTTTATTTTTTTATCGCCTAGATGGGTGGACGAGCTCACAGCCCACCTGTAATAAGTGGTAACTGGAGCCCATAGACATCTACAATGTAAATGCGCCACCCACCTTGAGATATAAGTTCTAAGATCTCAGTATAGTTTCAACGGCTGCCCCACCCTTCAAACCGAAACGCATTACTGCTTCACGACAGAAATAGGCGGGGTGATGGTACCTACCCATGCGGACTCACAAGAGGTCCTACCACCAGTAGGTAGTTAAAAGATATTTTACGTATTTTATTATTATCTTTACCTGGGATTCAGTCGCCGCGTTGTATTCTATGGTCAGTTCATATTGCGAAGACGGCCGCACGGATTGTTCAATGTAGTTAATGCTCAGTAACTTGGTCCCATTATTGCTTCTTATCATCGCTGACGGTAGTTCCTCGAAGTTTTTCGCACAGGCATCCGAGAATTCAGGCCAGCAGTGTTGAGTCTGCGGAAGAAAGCACGTGTTAGTTTTGATCGATTAGTTCAGTGTGCTTAGTGCGAGTTTTTTAACGTTTTCGATAGCGTAAAAGTTAACCCAATTTTGTATGCAGTTGGAACAGCGCCCCTAACGGCAAACGTAGACAAACGATCCCATTCCATACAAATATGACCTAACTTTTACGCTATCGAGAACGTTAAAAAACTCACACTAAGCACACTGAGTTCTTGATGTCAGAAACATAAAGCCATTATTAGTGCTTTTGCAAACGTAATCTTTATATGATTTCGTGAGTTGTATTTTATCGGGTTCTCGGTCTATAGACCTTTTTTTTAAGGTATTATTTTTAAAGAAATATTATTCCGGATGTTGCCATTTTAACCGCATCTAAACCTGTAAAAATGAGGATAATTCTCCAGGGATAAAGTGTTGCCTGTGTCTCTGGTCCTTAAGCTAGTAATTGATTTGCAAGTCCCTTGGCATATGAATAACGATCTAGCGAATACTCTGTACTATTCTTAAAGTAGAAATACCCGGTATTCCCGAGGAGAATCATTTACCATGATAAAAAATAATGTGTTAATCGGGGCTAAAACTATAATTTTGCGAAATTTCATCCCAATCCGTTTTTTTTTTGTGGATCGGATAACAATCTTTCAAACATGCCAACTTTCACGTTTATAGTTTTCGTATGAATGTATTAGAAATAAGAAAAACAAAGGTTAGGTACTATTGAAAAGGCTAAGCCCAGCTAAAATTTTCTCATGTGTCATGGATGCCGTAAGCACACCTGCGAGACAAGAATAAGACTTTTGATTATCTAATATACTTAACAGAGACTCTGATACCCATCGAGAATCGCGACCGGACTAGTACTACCATAATCTGAATCATTAGTCCGACCGGGCGATCATGAACTCAAGCTTAAACGAAACAATTCATTAATTGTTTGAAAAGAGAATACCGCTGTAATAACTCTTCGAAACAGCCAATTATAAAAATATTTCCCGCTGAGGCATGTCTTAGTGTTACCAGTAAATAGCACTGCATAAGGACCGACGCCAGTGCCTAGTTTTATACATAAAAGGAGACTTAAATGAAATGCCTCAGATTGGAACCGGTTCTATAAGCGTCAGTCTTCAGACACTAGTGACTTACAATCATGCAGGTCGGTCTAAATATAACACAATCTTAACCAACAATACGTTGTGCGTATCTGTCACTAAGTCCCATAAACTCGTATTTATAAACGCGCTGTAATCCATACTTAGGTTGCGCGATATTTTGTCCCTTTTGAAGTTGGGTGTCAATGCAATTAATTAATCGTTGGCTATATACCGTTTATGTACTAATAAGGCTTGTACCACAGTTGCGTTTTTAAGTATTATTCTGTTGACAGTATGTATGTATGTCGTCCGTTGTAATGACAAAGTTTAAAAAAAAACAGAATTTTTCCATTTATACGGGTTTCTTACTCAAAGCAGTCAGCTTGTAGGTGAAGATTAATTGTAGCTGTTGAATGCATGAAATCTGTAATGCACCGTGACAAGCTGAATAAAGATAAAGATCCTTGAAAAGATTTTAACATGACGTTTGGATGCATATTGTACATTTGTTCCGGTCCAATACATTAATGCGGATTGTTGAAAATTTGGGCATGTATGCATGTATTTTGTACAATCTGTAAGAGAAATCTCAAATCGTTTATAACCTCTTGTTAGAGATTGATAGGGAGATATCCGAAACTGTACAGGTGTGTACAAAATTGAAGAAAATAAAGTGAAAAAAATAAACTCGATGAAAATTTTTTTTTTATCAAACAGGTTTTTTATTTAAAATTCCATAATCTATGCTATTCTTCAAAGTGAATGATTGATCAATTTTTTTCGTAACAGCTTAGTAATATCTCATCATCAGCTCATCCTGTATGCCAATGAGATATAAAATATAATTAGCGATAAAATAAAGGAATATATTACCGAAAAAGTTATTGTGAATAAAAAAGCGAAAATTTCAAAAAAAAAAAAACACTGCAAGATACAGTGCTCTCATAGAGTCATAGAGCTACAGCTAGACTCTATTTAAAAATCAGCCTAATGTTTCGCATGCGTTACCATACGAAAGATTGAAACGTATTTTTTTCAAAACTTTTATATATAGCAAATATTGATGTAATATGTTCCTAAAACCTCCATAAATCAGGAAAATTCAATGAGTTTATTTCAACTTAAAATCTGATACAAAATTAGTGACAGCTATAACGATACCACTGTATTTAACATAATTACGAACATCCCCAGTTTTCGATTGCAGGATATGGACGATGAGATTGAGCCGGGCGCACATTGTAAGTTCGTATCCAAAATCGTGGTTAATATAACGCCGGAATGTATTTCTGTGATCAACGGTTCAATAGGGTATTTCCGTTAGAGATGAGTTGTACAGAACAATAAAAGCTATAGACAGGGTCGCTTTGATACACAAACACAAAATGTAATTTTAAAACACCGTTAAGCAATTGATTACAATTTGGTTGGGCGTTCAATTTGACAAGACGACGTTAATGAGTCTTTCAATTTATTAATGAGATAAAATACGTATGCGGCCGGTCGGCTTTCTCGGGTGATTTATCCTTATTCACCTATCTTTGGCTTTCAGTGACATTTCTACTCAACTCCTTAATTACTAATAGTAAATATTCATTTCGGAGAGCCTCAATAAAGCCTTGAGTTGATACGCCTGGTGTTAACTGATAAGCGGGGCCTTTAAAGGTACATAATAATATATAAGCCTATTCACTTTTAGACATAAGGCTGTATTTCGGATTTCAGTGTATAACTAACTTATTAACAAGAACGCGCCATAGTTTCGCGGTATAGATATACATAGGTTAGTACGGATCTGTGTTTATTAGCAAAACGTCCTATCTCCACTTTTTTCTTAATCGTAAATGTAACCGCCCCGCCTATTTCTGCCGTGAAGCAGTAATGCGTTTCGGCTTGAAGGGTGGGGCGTTGTAACTATACTTGAGACCTTAGAACTTAGGTATATCTCAAGGTGGGTGGCGCATTTACGTTGTAAATGTCTATGGGCTCCAGTACCCACCAGGTGGTCTGTGAGCTCGTCCACCCATCTAAGCAATAAAAAAAAAACTGTTGGTGGAACGCAGAAAACAAATTAGTTTTTCTATTTAAATTATGCTCTGTAACTCATAAGATTAGTACGAATCTATACTAATATTACAAAGCCACAGAGTTTGTTTGCTTGAACGCGCTAATCTCAGGAATTATTAGTCCGATTTGAAAAATTATTTTAGTGTTAGATAGGTCATTTATTGAAGAAGGCTATATAACATCACGGTAAGGTCAATACAAGTGGAGCACCAATCAATAATGTTTCAAAATAGGGGTTTAAATAGCTCTTTAACATTCTATAATTCAAAAATATTTTCACTTTCTACGTAAATGAAGTGGGGGTAAAATTTAGCGTTATGCCAAAGTAACTATTCTACGCGGACGGAGTTGCGGGCAAAAGCTAGTAATTTATACATTGGAATCACTGTCGTATCGCAATAATACTCGTAATTATTATAATGTGAGATGAAAGCACCAACGCGAACAATTCAACGCCCACTCTGAAACGACAAACGAACTTGTGCAGCAAGTTTCAGTAACCCTCCGTTGTGTTACTTGCTCGTTGGTTAAGAATAAAATTTCTAGTTTTGCACGAACATAATGTTCTACGTTTTACTTCTTTGTTGGTAGTTGTGATTGGTTAACATTATAGAGCTTCTGCTAAACACCAAGATATGTATAAATTGAGTTTGAATATTTATTTTGTCAGTACAATAACTGCTCGTTCAAACAAAACATTACGCAAGTCTTATTGCCAACAAAAATGTATGCTTTCTTTTTGCTTTTTTTTTATTGCTTAGATGGGTGGACTAGCTCACAGCCCACCTGGTGTTAAGTGGTTACTGGAGCCCATAGACATCTACAACGTAAATGCGCCACCCACCTTGAGATAAGTTCTAAAGTCTCAAGTATAGTTACAACGGCTGCCCCACCCTTCAAACCGAAACGCATTACTGCTTCACGGCAGAAATGGGCAGGGTGGTGGTACCTACCCGCGTGGACTCACAAGAGGTCCTACCACCAGTAAATCTAATCAATCTAATCTATCTAATCTAATCTTGCCTAATCAAATAATCTATATATATAAAAATGAATTGCTGTTCGTTAGTCTCGCTAAAACTCGAGAACGGCTAGACTGATTTAACTAATTTTGGTTTTGAATTATTTGTGGAAGTCCAGAGAAGGTTTAAAAGGTAGATAAATATGCAAATGCTCCGAATTAAATAAAAATTCTTTGATGTCCCCCCCGTCGGATGGATTCCTTTTGTTTGTTTTAAGTTTATTTTATACAAAAGTTTAGGTCTTTTATTTGTCGATTGAGGCACTACAAAGTCTGTCGGGTCAGCTAGTCTAAAATATAAATATGCTAGAATAGTTAAAGTTCGTATTGTACATAGTGAATTTTTAGCAAATGAAAGTCCATTTGAAATGCAAAAATCGATTTCAAATAAGTTCAGCTCATATCAACAGAGACGGTGGCAGAAAAATAAGTAGCCAACAACTTGTTTAGCTCGTTCTCAATATCGGAACAAGTTACGGTTACACGGTTGCAAAAACTGACTTCGCACAGAATTTATTTTTAATTGATGTGTAGCGATAGGTAGCGGTTTGGTAGAGCCGTTAGCATTAGTGGCGACAACGTGCGACGGTAACCATCGTCCGATGGATCGTATTCTCATCTGATTTTGTCGACAATATAATAAGGTAACGGTAAAGCTAGTGCTAAGCGATCACTGAAGATCTATAGACCCCTCGTCTATTCTGTGTTTTTTTTTTTATTTCATTTATTTATTGCATAGATGGGTGAACGAGCTCACAGCCCTGGTATTAAATGGTTACCGGAGCCCATAGACATGTACAACGTAAATGCCG